TGGAGAGATAGCTTCAAGTATTTTAGTTTGCATTCGTAGAATAATCTCGTCCCAAAAGGTTTCTGACAGTTGCCAGTCCTCTCCGATTTGTGCTGAAAAAGCCATTTCACACTTAAGCCGAGACTCTTGTAAACAATCGTCTCTGTGGAATTACACCATTAAGAGTGCCAGCTTCGTCGCCATTTTACATCCAGACCCCATAAATCAAGTAAGTCACTGTTCTTCAATATTTAAGGTGTTTTCCAAATAGCAGATAGGAGATTTCAATATATTACTCTGCCCTTTGTATTTATATTGATGTTGACGCCCCGGAGCTCTGCTTTGCCGCTTATCATAGGAATGCATGAGGGAAGATTCCTCAGCACCTCCTTTAGCTTCTCGGGAAGATTTATAGGGGCAAATAAAAGTTGTTTTCCAAGCTTGAAAGTTGTCAAGAAAAAGAAAGTACAAGTTCATTGCCTAGATGGTATGACGAGGCATGAAGGCTCTTTGTAAAGGGGTAACACAGCTTGTCAGTCGTGCTATCACGGCTGGTCTTCGGTGCTTCCTGCGTTAGGACAATTCTGACTCCACACCCGTTGTTGCCACAAACGGGGGGCTCAGATATAAAAGTCCTCTGCAATCAGTTCGTACTCCCGACGAACCGATGGGACCAAGGAGAACCAAATGGACCCCTAAAAAAGCTCCAGAAGTTGGTGAGTCTCAGAGCCCTGAAAAAACTCAACCACGTTGCTGTACTGTTGCCCCGCCTCCCTCTCCGGGACTTCTTCGGCACATGCGCAAAGCGCACATGCCACAGTGATGTCACCCAGAAGTGACACCATCACGTCGGCCACGTTGGGGGTGGGACCACTATCATTCAAGGAGGGACAACAGAGTTTTCCCTCGAATGATAGAGCACCCCCCCCCCATATGCCCGGAGCGATGACATCACCTCCGGGTGACATCGCCACGCCGAGCACGTCGCCACGATCATGGCACTTTGGGGGTGGGGTTCCCCCCAGCAACCCAATCCAGGCTGGTGGGTAAGGAGCCCATCAAGTGGGCAAACCCCCGCCCCCCTACAGGCAGTGGTTTTATTTGTTTATTTATCAGATTTATATACCACCCTCCCCAGATGTTAATGAGTACTGCTGGCTGCCTGTCCATGTTTAGGGTTGCCAGCCTCAAGCTGGGGTCTGGAGATCTCCTGATTGCTTTCTCAGGGTGGACTCTGTGGCACTGCACCATGCCGAGGTCCTTCCCCTCTCCAAACCCCACCCCCTCTCCAGGCTCCTCCCCCAATATCTCCATGTATTTCCTAATCCAGAGCTGACAACTCAAACCATTCTGTTTTTGCTGAACTCTGGTCTGACCGACAATGAAACCTGTGCTTCCTTTCCAGGAAGCATTAAAGTAGGCCCGGCAGGTTTTATAATCACTCCCTCCTGGACACAGTTTCTCTTTAACAGTGGACCGGGGCGGGGGGGAGGTCTACAAGTCTTCTGGAGAAGGTCAACCTGTATGCATCTGGGCTCTGGCAAGCCCCACTTTCCAGGCCTTTAACTCAGCTGCCTTAAGCATGTGGGAAGTCGCATGGGCTTGCTGTCACCCCATTCCACATCTCCTTCTTGAAGCCTGGGAGTTACCGACAGAACCTACCACAAGGAAGGCTTTGGGCAGCCTTCAGAGAGAGGGTGGACAAATCACTTTACTTCCCTTGTAGCCCTGTAATTATAAGATTACTTGAACAGGCGTGACTGCCTCTTTCATCACTTCCACAATGATCTACGTTCTGGGAGGAAAATCCACCTTGTGTCAAAAGCGACAAGCCTCCCTCAACAAAAGCAAACATTATGAAGCATGGTTTTCTTAAAGGAGCATAAGAAAAAGCTACACACGTCTTAAAACCCAATTGCGAGATCTGCTTCTTGCAGTTGGTCTGATAATTACATTGTGAGAAGGTTGACTGATTAATGTGAAAGGGCAGCCAGCGTGGGTAGTGTTTAGAGTGCTGAAATAGAACTTGGAAGACCTGGGTTCAAATCCCCGGTTGGCTATAAAGGTCTTGAAGTCTAACAACAGGGCTGTTGTGAGGCTAAAATGGAGGTAGGGTGACAGACCATGTATTTTACTTTGAGCTGAGCTCCTGGGAGGGAAGTCAAGGGGGGGGGGGAAGCACATAGATAAATCTGTTCATCTGTACACACTTTGACCATCAGCACAGGGCTACAGCATGGAGGAAATCGCTCAGCTTCGACTATAGAAGGGGGAAGTTTAAACAAGCTTTAAACAAAGTTAAAGGGGAAATGTACAGCCAAGTCTGTTGCTTGCAGGAGGAAAAATTATTTAGAACATTTCCAGGGGTCATTTCATAGAAAAAGACATGCAGGAGCTCATTAGCATAACTCATTAGCATAACTTATTTGCATATGCCACACACCCTGACATCACCAGGAGTGTGTCAGAAGGCAACACACACTCAGGCTCCACTGGACTGTTTTGGATTGCTAGCTATTGGGGGGGGGGACGTGCAGATCTGTCCTCTCAGAGGAGGGAGAGCTTGTACCTGAATAAAACATGGTCTTAAAGGTGCCACTGGACTGCTTTGACCCGGGGGGGGGGGGGCTCTGCAACTTACCTGGCTGCTTCTTGCTCTGGCTAAGGGCTGCTGGGAGCAGGGGGTGGGGCTTGTTGCATGTGCCCGCCCCCTGGGCTCCTTACTGCCGGAGCTCCGCTTATGTGCGCTCCTGCAGGAAATGACCCCTGAACATTTCTATACCACCTCTTCAGAGTCCTGCTTGAAGCAGCTTACAATTTAAAAGCCCACTGTTTTTTAAAAAATGACATGAACCAGTGTAGAATTGTTCTGCCTCCTAGCTGCACAGAAGACCACATGTTCAAGAAACACATGCCCAGAACTGGAATGCACTCAGCAGCAGCTGCTTCTCTGGCTTTAACTTAGTTCCCCTTCTGTGGACTGCAGAACCAGCCACCAAGCCAACACTTAATTTTTCTGCATCCCTATCAGATCTCAGAAGGTAAGCAGGGTCGACCCTGGCTAGTATTTGGATGGGAGACCTCCAAGGAATACCAGGGTCGTGACGCAGAGGCAGGCAATGGCAAACCACCTATGAATGAAAAACCCCTAAGCAGCTGCCATAAGTCAGCTGTGACTTGATGGCAAAAAATAAAACAAAACACCTGAATAATTAGCCCCAAGACTGCCCTGAGACAGAGGCCGGAAATGGCAAACCACCTGCCTTGAAAACTCTGTGGGGTCACCATACGTCAGCAGTGACTTGATGGCAAAAAAGCAAACAAACCAGGGATCCAGTTTCGTATAAATCCTGACCCAAGAATTATTTAAGGATTCGCTTATTTGTTAGAAGACTGTATTGGATGACTACCCCATAATATTGATTTCTCCGTCCCTCTTTTACATAGGAAAACATTCTTCATAAAGGTCTGAATGGGATGGTGGGCTTGGGTCCTGCTTAACATTTCTTAAGATAGAAAAGATTTCTGTCCACAGAGGGCAACTACCTTGCGGGATTCCCCCTTCGGCTATAGTCTTAAATATCTTCCAAAGCATAGATCCTAGTGGACTGCCTCAGATGAACAAAAATTCCCCCTGCCCCATTGCACACATGGGAACTGGAGATAAGATCCAACCATGGATCACTCGCCAGTAGGGCCTGGCGGGACATGGTCGATGGGCTCGCGAAGAGTGGGACTCGACTGTGCGACTGAACAACAGAATCATAGGATCAGAGAGTTGGAAGGGGCCATCGAGTCCAACCTCCTGGCTCAGTGCGGGATCAGCCTAGAGCATCCCTGACAAGTGTTTGCCCAGCCACTGCTTCAAGACTGCCAGTGAGGGGGAGCTCACTGTTGAGCAACTCTTACTGTCAAAAAGTGTTCCCTAATATCCAGCCGGTACCTTTCCACCCTAAATTTAAACCCATTATTGTGAGTTCTATCCTCTGCTGCTGAAAGAACAGCTCCCTGCCCTCCTCTAAGTGACAGCCCTTCAAATACTTCAAGAGAGCAATCATTTCCCCCCTCGACCTCTTCTTCAGACTGAACATTCCTAAGTCCCTCAGCCTTTCCTCACAGGGCTTGGTCTCCAGGCCCCCAATCATCCTGGTTGCTCTCCTCTGCCCCCGCTCCATTGTGTCCACATCCATTTTGGAAGTGAGACCTCCAGAACTGCCCACAATACTCCAGGTGCAGCCTGACCAATGCAGTGTACAGCGGGACTATGACATCTTGCTATTTGGACGTTATGCCTCTGTTGATACACCCCAAGATCACATTAGCCTCTTTGTCTCAGATGCCGTTTACTAGATGTGGCTAAGCCTGCTGGTGAGAGGATAAGTATCTGTTGGCTGCTACTTTAGTTAGGTCAGTTTTGTTTCTGTTCTCTCCACATGCTAGCCTCCAAGAATGGGTAGGGTCGTCAACCTCCAGGTGGTGACTGGAGATCTCTCAGGATTACAACTGATCTCCAGGAAACAGATCAGTTCACCTGGAGAAAACAGCCACTCTGGAAGGTGGGAGGTGGACTCTATAGCATCGTACCCCACTGAAGTCCCTCCCCTCCCCAAACTCCACCCTTCTCAGACTCCCCTCCCCCCAAAAAATCTCCAGGTATTTTCCAGCCCAGAGCTGGCAACCTTAAGAATGGGGTACATTAGAATTTAGGAACCGCTCCTCTGCAATGAGCAGCATACCACAGGTCTTCCAGTACTGGTGTGGACTGCCAGTGTGGTGTGTAGTGGTTAGAGTTCTTGGACTAGTATCTGGGAGACCCAGGTGAGAATCCCCACTCTTGCCATGGAAGCTCATTGGGTGACCTTGGGCCAGTCACCCTCTTTCAGTCTAACCTACTGCACAGAGTTGTTGGGAGGATAACATGGAGAATGATGTGAGTTTCTTTGTGTCCCTATTGGGGTATAAATGAATTAAATAAAAATTCTGAAGCTTACCATTGGCAAACTGCTCCCTGGAATACTTGGGAAATCATGGTGTTCCATATGATAACCAACGTTAAAGGTGATCCAGTTGAGGGACCCGTAGTAGGAATACGTTTCATATCCTTTCAGGAACATATAATGCTCTGCTATGAAGTGCCCGGCAATGGGATGTAAGCCTGTACAAAGTATGGTCCCTCCTACCAAATAAACCACAGGCTTCACACCCCATAAGTGGTAGATGACGAAGTCGGCCAAAAGTTGCACCAAACCATTATATATTTCCATCTGAGTCACTACCCTTGGGTTCGTAAACATGGGCCGAAAGGCGTAAAAAGCAGGCTGGAGGATGATCCAGATGAGTTTCCGAAATGGGGTGCAAAAGAACCAGCCCTCAAAGTCGGTGGGAATGTCAGTGTCCAGAATGTGCCCACCGAGGTATCGATGGTGGTCAATGTGGTACTTCTTGAAGGAAGCCGAGTAGGGTACTCCAATGGGCAGGTTGGCAAAGATTGCAAACCATCGGTTCCATTTTGCCCTCTTGTTGCCAAAGGGGACGTTGTGGGAGATGTCATGGATGGCTAGCGTCAGGGAGTGGTTAATGCAGCCCCCAAACACATACGCCCAGAAAAAAACCCATTTCCAGGGCAAATCTTTCACCAGGTAGCAAGCTAGGAGTTGTGTGAGTACCATTCCAGTCACAATCCATTTAAAAGTGGGATCTGGTACCATCAGAGACTTGATGGATGGATACTTGGCTGGGGGAAGAAGACCAAAACAGGTTAAAATAAAGTTATGAAACATTTGAATCCATCTATGCAGTTGTGAGCTTATAAGACCATCTCATTCGATCACTATCAGCCTCCACATTAAGTGTTAGGAACAGAGAGACACTACAGGCAATGTGCTTAAAGGCTATTTGGCCTCTATGACTAGCAATGTGGTGGTAGTTGAACTGGATAGGTATCTGAAAAGCACACACTACCTGAGGTAAATAACCAGATCACTCCAGCAGACTTTGTCCATCTGAGCTTACGAACATATGAAGCCGCTTTATACTGAGTCAGATTATTGGTCCTATGGAGGTAGAGTTGCCATCTCCAGGTTGGGAAATACCTGGAGATTTTGGGGGTGGAGCCTGATGAGGGTGGAGTTGGTGAAGGGAGGTTTTTCAGTGGGGTATAGTGCCATAGATGGAGCTGTGGTGGCTCAAGTGGTTAAGACGCTGAACTGCAGGCTGTGGAAGGTCAGTAGTTCAGCAGTTCAAGACCCGGGTGCCGCAAGACAGGGTGAGCTCCTGTCTCTAGTTCCAGCTCCTGCCAACCTAGCAGTTCGAAAGCAAGAAATTGCAAGTAGATAAATAGGTACCACTTCGGTGGGAAGGTAACAGGGTTCCGTGCACCTTGGTGTTTAGTCATGCCGGCCACATGACCACGGAAACGTCTTCGGACAGCGCTGGCTCTTCGGCTTTGAAACGGAGATGAGCACCGCAACACTAGAGTCGGATTCGACTGGCTTTCGAGCAAGGAAATAGTGCCATAGAGTCCACCTTCCAAAGCAGCCATTTTTTCCAGGTGAACTGATCTCTCTGGAGATCAGTTGTAATCCCAGGTGAGCTCCAGCCACAACCTGAAGGTTGGCAACCCTGTATGAAAGTCAGTATTGCCTACTCTGACAGGCAGTGGCTCTCCAGGGTCTTAAGTTGAGGTCTTTCACATCACCTATCTACATTTTCATAGAGATAGCAGGGATGAACCCTTGGGGCCTTCAGCATATGCAATACGGAGCTACAGACTCTCCCTGTTTGCTTTTCAGAAAAACATTCAAGCCTTACTTGGAAGCCATGTTCCTTCATTCTGCCCTCACAGTGGTTGCTGCAAAATTTTATCATTGTAGATGAATTGGATAAACAAGCACAACATTCTTGTAGGATCTGCCCTGCTACAGAATGTCCAGATGACCAGAGATGAACAGCTGCTACCAGGAAGACGTCTCACTTTGATCTCCAAATCCTTCCCTACCTGAGGGCTTTACAACATTTTCCCACCATTGTTCAGTATGTGGTTAGAAGGGTAAACCCCTCCAGGGGCAGAAAAAATTGGGGGAAAGCCTCCTATTCCCCAATTTTTTTCCAATTTTTCCGATAGCAAATTTGGGGCAGTGCAAAACACAAAACAAAACCATGCAGCCCAATGAAATATGCTGTCATTTTTAATGAGTGGAATAACAAGGATTCATTCACTCAATGTGTGTTATAAAGACTTTTATGCAAGACAATCTACAACATTAGATGGCGAAAGTTCCTGGGTACACAGCATGTTTCCAAGCATATTTATTTGTTTAAATGTGATAATGTTGTCCGCAGTTATTATGCTGTAATGTATATGACTAATACACTCCCTTGGAAACTAAACTGACTGAAACGGAGGCTATCGCACTTTGGTCACATTATGAGATGAAAAGACTGGCTGAAAAAGACAAGGATGCTAGGAAGAGTCAAAGGCAGCAGGAGATGAGGAAGACCCAACATGAGATAGATGGACTCCGTCAAGGAAGCCACAAAGGCCCTCAGTTTGCATGACCTGAGCAAGGCTGTTAAGGATAGGACATTTTGGAGGTCTTTAATTCATAGGATCACCTTAAGCTGGAAGCAACTTGATGGGCACTTAATACACACTATTGAAGACTTCAAGGTTTAATGTTCAAATTGAAGCAGATATACAAACATGCTGCTAGTTCAGTTGTGCCCATAATACTGATTTCCCCTTCAAGTGTGAGACTGCGGGCTTCTCCACATGGGTTTTTCTCATCAGTTCCGGCCCCAGACTGCTCAGCTCTGTGAGCTACATGAGGCTGAGTGTGTGTATCTAGCCCAGGGTCACCCAGCAAGTTTCCACAGCAGAGTGGAGATTAGAACCTGGGGTTCTCAGATCCCCATCTGACACTCCAACCACCAGACACAGCTCTTGGTTTCCTAGAGTTGCACTGTAAGTATTGTGTTATGGGTACGACATATCAATATAGACTACTGCCTTTAGTACATTTTTATCTTACCCTTCCTCCACAGAGCTCAAGGCAGACGACGTGGTTCTCACTCCACGATTCCACTTAGGGTTGCCAGGTCCCTAGCTTTTTCCGGTGTGTGGGGGGGGGAGCGCCACGCAAGCCACAATGACATCACCTGGAAGTGACGTCATCCACTTGGCATGTTGCCGGGGGCGCTCTAGCATTTGGTTAGAAACTCTATGATACCATAGAGTTTTCAGGCTGAATGCTAGAGTGTCCCGTCCCCCTGGCAATGTGCCTGGCGCGATGATGTCACCTCCAGGTGATGTCATCACGCTGGGCATGTCAGCCCGGTTTAGGCACTTTGGGGGGGGGTTCCCCCACTGGCCAGATCAAAGGTGGTGGGTCAGGGGCCCCTAAAGCAGGCAAACCCCTGACCCCCCCAGGGGGATCTGGCAGCCTTTATTCCACTATCAGAACCATCCTGCAAGGTCAGCCAGAGAACTCCTTGGCAGTGCAGGGAACTGGATTAACAACAAAAAAAAACTGTCTACAACCCCAGCAGGTTCGTAGCCAGAGGTCATTTCGGGGGGGGGGG